CCTCAGGGACTTCAGTTGCCTGCCAGGGGGCTCCAAACTTGGTTGATTTTACACTATTTTCAATGGAGCTTGAATTAGTTCAGTGCACCCCTATGGTTGCAGCTGCTTCGTTGCGATAACGCCCCCTCACGGCGGCATGCACAAAACACGCGTGGCATAACTAGCCGCTAGCCAGTCATGCCAGTGGCTTCCTTATTAATGAGCAAATTTCGCATGTATTTTCAGCCTAGCCGTAGTCAAAACTGTCTGCCGCGGCTATCAGTAATGTATTGGATGTTATCGCCCCATATGTAGGTGGCGTACCGTGTGGATCGTCTGTGTCAGGTCGCGCACGCCCAATTTTGATCGAATTACCCACCCACAGGCCGTCCGTAATTGCCACCTAGTCCTCTATCGGGGTATATGGGTCAAGAAAGCCCGGCCGGATGGACGGACGGAATGACGATTCAGCATGTCCCAGTATCCTGGTAAGTGATAAGCGGTTATGTGTGCAAATTTTCAGGAGAAACTTTCACGGGTAGTGGGGCCAAACGACGAGGACGGGTCATCACAGATTCACAGTGTGTAGTTCTGTATGCATGCCCACCGCCATGTCAGTGATCGTCCTACACGCGGTGCACGATGGCTGACGGCGACATGCATACACCGGTTATGCCAGGGAAAATCCATGCTAGTACGTTCTTATGTTCTGGGACTCCATTTTTTGGTCATTTTTATCTCGTAAAACTGGTCACCGCTCCCTCAAATGCTTTCTTTATCGCGCTGACCCATTTTTTTTTTAAATTTCAAATTGTAAATTGTGAGAAAATGTGAATTTCTTAGTCTTGACAGTTGGGCCTACTGTACTGATGAACCAGTGCATTGGAGGCACACCTCACAACTCGGGGACTGTCCCTGTATTGGGAGAAGTCCCTTTAGGGACAAAACCAGTCCCCTGGAGAGAATGTCTCCTTAAAAGGGGGCATTGTTCTCACGTGGACCTGTTGTTCCTGCAGGTCAAACATATCCACATGCTTTAGATATATCATCATGTACATGTACATGTACAATGTACACTATGTGTGATGATCTTTTTCTACCACATTTTCCATTCATAGTCAGTAAATTGATTAACTGTGTATACATGTAGCATAAAGGTATTGAGTTCAGAAAAATCATTTTGATGTACATGTAATCATTTCCTCACCCATTACATATGCATGTATGTACATTGCAAACTAGAGAGGTTTAGAATTTTTTTTTAACGGCTGCCTTAGGTGTTTTGTTTTCTGCTGGATCCGATCATGGCATTAAAAGGGCAACGGTAGGATTCCCAAGCCCACTTGAAAAGAAAACTGTTCCCGTTTAGAGGGCATTCCCGCCTTCTGGGGACTAATTCTTGTCCTTGAATAAAGGAACTTCTCCCAATACGTGTACATGTAAAAAGTGAGTTCCCGAGTTGTGATGTGTGCCTCTGCTGTAAACCAGCCATGCAAATTTAAAATCCACCATGCCAGTGTCGTATTAAAACTCTCACATTTCCCCTCATACGGTACATGTACATTGTAATTTACCCCAGAAGTCAAAGCCCTACCCTCTTTTCACAACATCAACCCTATTCATGTAGTTATTGATGTGATTGAGCATGATTATGTGGGAAACCGATTATGTCATCCATGTACATGTACATGTACATGTAGTCATCTACCAGGGTGAATCTTGAAGTTAAAACATGTTAAAATGTATCCTACATGTACATGTTGTACATACATGTACATGTTTGTACATGTAATGTACAAGTAATTA